ATAAATAGTATAAGTAACACTACTAGTAAAAAGCTAGCTTAAATAAACTTTTTTTTAAGTTCTTATTAAAGTATTTTTAAAGCACTTTTAATTTATTTAGTAACATTTTATATAGTAGCCTATAACTAGGTTGTTTACTAGGCTTAAAAGTTATTTAGTAATTATATAGATGTTATATTAAAAGCTTATTAAACTTATTTTAAAAAAAGATATGTAATAGGTTATAGTAGTTTTAAAAGACTATTATTTTTAAGTTAGTGTGTTTTTAGAGAGCTAAAGCTTAGTCTATATTAGAAATTATAACTGCGTAGATTTTATAATCTAGTTATTAAGCTAGGGTTATAAATAAAGTAGGTTTTATATAGCAGATGTCTATCTGCTGTTTAAGTCCTAGTTTATGTTTAAATTAGGTAAGTAAAAATTCTTTAAAGGCTTTTTTTTCTTTAAGTTTAAGTAGTTGTTAAATTATTTTACATAGCTTATTTTAGTAAAAGGCCTAGCTTATTAGCTTTACTTAGGTAGTTCTTTTCTAAGTTATTAAAAAGTAGGTCTAAAAACCTTTTATATTAAGTGCTACTTAGGTGTTATTTAGGTGTAAGCATAAGCATATGTCTTAGCATTAAAAAGAGTTAAAGTTTAAAACTTACTCTTAGTAATTAAAAGCAACTTTGTGCTAATACAGCTATAGTTGTTCTAGGATTAAGTTATAACATTTTATGTTTATTACATAAAGCTTAATCTACTTCTTATAGTGTTAGTAAGTAATTATAATAGTTATAGTATAAAAAATAAAACTTTTTTTAAGTTATTTTTTATTAAATCTAGTTAAGTAAATTATTTAGGTAAGTAGTGTTAATTAAAGATTTAGTTTATGCGCTAGTTTTTTATTAATATAACTTATACTATTTACTTCTAAGTTAATAAGAGCTTATATTAAAGCTAATATAGTTTTTTATTATAAATATATAAAAATATTAACTTAGTACTTTTAGTTATTAGTAGAGGACTTAGCTTATAAGTTAGCAGAGATCTAGTGTTAAATTAGTCCTAAAAGGCAACTTAGCCCTAGGACAAGCCTTTTTGTAGGCTTCTACTGCTATAGCTGCAGCTATGTTAAGAGTAGTAAAAAGGATTAAGGCTTAAATATAAGTTAAAGCCCTTATAAAAATAAAAATAAAATAGTAAAAATCTTTAATAAGTGCTAGCAGCACTACTTGCGTAGACTTAAAAAAGAGAAATAAAGTAGTTTTAAAAAATATAACTATGCTTACTACACTTAAAGTATTAACTTTTTTTTTATAATTTTTACACTTTTTAGAACTAACTAAAGCATAATTTAAATTAATTTTTATTATATTAAGGTTCTTATTTATAACTGCGCTAGTTTAGGAGTGTATTAGAGCTTGTATAGAGAGGAACCTTATGTTATTATTATAGGTAGTAATTAGGTTTACATACGCATTAAAGTTATTTAGAAGAGGTTCTTCTACTATAGCGCGTTATAGTTTAGTTAAGAGAGAGTTATATAAAGCTATAATTAGACTTATTTTATTTAGGCTTATATTAAATATAAGTTAGTAGAACTTAGTAAAGTGTAAAGTAAAGCTTTTTTATTCTTATTATAAAGTGTTTAAGTAACTTAAAGCTATTAACTTTTTATTTAGGTCTCTATAAGTTACTTATAAAAACACTATAAATTAATCTAAGTTAATAATATTTTTATTTATTAGTAAGTTAATTAAAGCTATTACATTATAGTTAAGTTAAAAGTAGGTAAATAGTAACTAAAAATGTTTAAAAAGAAATTAGTCTATGTTTCCTTTAAGTTTATATTAGAGCTTATATAGAAAGAAAGGTAGGTTTTTTTATTTTTTATTAAACAGTAGGGGATTAGAGAGTTAGTTAAATTTTATTACTAAGTTAAAAAAGTTATAAGTTATAAGTAGTGTTAGGCAGGAAAAAGTTAAGCTATCTTTAGACTTCTAAGTAAGCTTTAAGGCTAGTAAGTTCTTAGTTTTTACTACTATAATAAAAGTTAAAGCAGAAATAGACTACTTAATAATATAAAGCTATTCTTTAAAGTCCTTTTAAAAAGCTTTAAAGCTTATAATGTAGTAGCTTTCTTATAAAGTAAGCGCTTTTTAAAAAGCTTTTTAGCTTACTTTAATAGCTTAAAGTTATGTAAGTACTAAGCTTATTAAATTAAATTTAGAGGCTATTTTTAGCTAGAGTTTTAACACAACATAATGTTATAATTATGTATAAGTAAGGTTATAGAGCTTTATAGAGGTCTAGTTTAATTACTATGTAAGGTATTATAGTAAGTATAAGATGTTATATAAGGAATAAGAAAGTTTAGAAAAAAATTAGTAATTAAATACTTAGCTTAAAAGTCTAAGCACTTTAGGTATAAATTAAGCCTATTTTAGGTTTAGTTAGTGTTAAGGCAGTTTATGCTTAAGTTTATGTCTGTGTTGTGTTGTGTTTATGTTAGACGTGCACTAATAATACTCTAGTACGCGTCTAATACAGTTATGTCTAGGATCCGGGGAGGATACCGTGACACTATAAATGCTATCTAAGGGGAAATTCCTTGCGCATATAGCTTAAGTATAGTCTTAATAATTACCTGCTTCTTTTTATTACCTAGCCTCTATAATTTAGCTATAGAATTAGCTTATAAAGGTTATCTAGCGCTATAGTTATTTATTATTTTTTATAAAACTTTACACATAGCTATAGCACATTTTTTTAAGAGTTTTATGTCTTATTTAAAAGCTTAGAGTGTAAGCTGTATCTAACATTCTTTTAGCGCGTCTAAGTAGTGTTATAGAGAATGCATTAGTGTAGAAAGGGTAGTTTAGTAGGGTCTTAGCAAAAGTAAGTAACTTAGGTGTGTGAGCAACTCGCCCGTGAAGTACGTTAAAAGGTGTAATAAGTAAAAAAGCATATAAATAGTAATAATCTTATTATCTTTATAGTATTACGAGAAATAAAGTAAGTTATAGCTTTTATAGCTATTAATAACTAGCAGATAGTAGCTACTAACAGTACACTTTTTTATATACACATTAAAGTGCTTTAACTAGTCTAGACTAAGCTAATTAGTAGTCTAGCTGCGCTTAGAGATTGTAATAACTTAATCTTAAAGTAGATTTTTCTTCTTATACTAGTTTAAAAAGTAGTTGCTACTCTAAAAGATAATAAAGAGTAAAATAGCTTACTTTTTAGCATTAATGCCCTAGATAGCTGTTGTCTACTTCTAGTTACCTAGCTAGACTGCTTTTAGCTGTCCTTATCTCTCTAAACCTATAATAACTACTCTAGTAGATATCTAGCCTATTATAAACTCTGTCTTATTAAAGTTGTACATGTTATTATTTTAGATGCTTTACTTAGCTTTAATATTTTTTATAAAGTTAAACTAGCTTTAAATTACTATAGAATTTTTATAAAAAGCTTTTTTATAGTTATACTTACGCTTAAACTTTACTTTAAGCTCTAAGTAACACTTAATAAATATATTAAGCTAGTTTATGCTAACATAGCCTATATTATGCTTAGTGTATAAAGAATTAGCTATATTAGCTACAGCTGCTAGCTAGGGGGGAAATCCTTGCGCATTTAGCTTAAGTATGTGCTAAATAATTACCTACTTTTTATTATTATCTAGCTTCTATAAGTTAGCTGTATAATTAGCTTAAAAAGGTTGTCTAGCGCGTTAGTTACTTATTATCTTTTAAAAGACTTTATAGATAGCTGCAGCGTGTTGCTTAAAAAGTGTTGCGTTTTATTTAAAAGCTTAGAGTGTAAGCTGCATCTAATGTTTCTTTAACACGTTTAAGTAGTGTTATTAGAAATACATTAGTGTAGAAAAAGTAGTGTGGTAGGGTCTTAGTAAAAGTAAGCAACTTAGTGTAAGGACGGGGCTCCGCACCACTCCGCCAATACAACCAAAAGGTACGAATAATCAACCAACGTTGATTTTCGGGTGCAGAATAGTATATATACCTGTCGCACGTAAGCGCCATCTCGGCCTTACACTCAGGTGTGTAAGCAACTTGCCTATGAAGTACGTTACTTTAGTATTTACTTTGTTAAAGCTAGGGGGGGGTGTTGCACGTGTCTTACATAATACTATACCTATGTACTCTACGATTTACTTATTAGGACTAGCTTCTTTCTTGTACAGTATATAGTCCTAGAGCACTCTCAAGCTTCTTAGACCTTACAATAAACTCTTACAATTCACCTTGTTTGGATCTCAATACCTTGTCGACTTGCTTACCATTGTCAGATTGAAGCACTGTTTCTGGGCTTCCTGAGATGAATGATGGGTTTGGATGTCATGTATGGGATGATGATTGATTGTGTTGATTTATCGATCCTTTTTCTGCTCTACTCGTGTTGCTCGGCTTTTTGTTTTGCCGATCCGAGTCCCTCGCGCACTTGCCCTATGCGCGACCAGCTTGCAACATGCTGCAAAATGCTGCAAAATGCTGCAAAATGCTGCAACATGCAGCAATTTGCAGCAACATACTGTTCGAGCTTATTGCTCGTACTATGTAGCAGCTTTCGTCAAACGTTCCTCCTGTCTTGACAGTAGGTGCGCATATCTGACAACCATATGATCTCTTCTCAGCTCATGCAAGACCTTCCTCAGTCGCCAAGTCTTACCAGCAGGATCTGCCCTAGTGTGATGACAAGCACTGTCTCTACTACCGTGTGGAGCTGGGGAAGCGAGGTAGAGTTGGTCGGCTCTATTTCAGCTAAACTAGGATGGGGAATGAAGGAGGCGAAGGGTTTTCGCGAGAGAAAAGCTTGAGCGGCGCCAAGGCGCTAGCGGGCTCGCTTAGCCCTTAGCGAGATCATGTGACTAGCAGCGGAGCTTGACAAGCAGCACCGTCACACCTAGAGGCATGACGTCAACCACGGAACAACGTCTGCTATATATATCGCAGGACCCTAAAGTTTCACCTTGGGACTGTTGCCTAACTAAACTTTGGATATCTCACTGCTTCTAAGGTCCTCGCTTCCACGAGGTCGTCTACAACGTCGCTATGGCCTTGCTCAGATTGCCTGACGAGCTCCTCACGCCCATCGTCAGCCATGCCATTCCAGAAGGCTTCGAGAGCCTGTGTCTAGCCTGCCGCAGGCTTCACACGTTTTGCAAACCCTTTATTAAGCAGCATAATGTACTCCGCTCGGAGTTTCGCAACTTCAATTACTACGAAAAGTTTGGAGAGCATTCCTTTACCATCAGGACATCGTTTGAGCTTATTGCCCGGATCGCTGAAGAGCCAGTTGTTGCACGCTACATACAGCATGCAGATTTCAAGCCGGATCTTCGGCTACCTATCGGTAAACGGCTATGGTTGATGGAAGACAGTGGCTATCGTCCCGACACCGTCCGCGACTTATTTGCCAGTTCTCGGTACTTGTTAGGTACAGATTGGCAGGACTACTTTACTAAGTATGAACGAGATCTAGAGGACAATCGCTATTGTCAAGCTGCCAATGCCTTTCTCCTGACACTGCTGCCTAACGTCAAGTCCGTGGTGCTTCCACAGTTGTGGAAATCCGACAAGGACACTGAGAAGCTTCTTGAGGCCATCGTCGACCATGCGCGCCAACCCAACACCACTTCGATCAATGCCAGTCTCTCATTGTTGACCACTCTGAAGACTTCTCGCTCGTTGGTAGAGCGGCAAGGCCTTGTCCTGAACAAGATCACTCCGCTCCTGGGCCTTCCACGCATCTGCTCATTCCACGGCCCCTGCTCAGTATCCCATGGAGAAGAGGGCTTATGTCAATCACTCCCACCCCGTGTCGGCGAGACAATGGAAATAGCCCACTTGCTCAGCAGCAACCTCGACGGCCCTGGCATGGAACACTTTCTGCGCTGCACACCGCGTCTGAAAACGCTCGTTTACTCCCACTCACGCAAGCAGGTCAGTGCACCCTGGGATATCTGCTCGCTCGTCACGGCTATTGCTAAGGAGGCGGTTAGCCATCTTGAAGAGCTGTCTATTACGACGCACGACTTTACAGGCAAAATCGCCCTTGGAACAGCGACTATGCGTGGCTTTGTGCGTCTGCAAAAGCTAGAAATCCCTCTTGACCTTGCAACGTGCGTAATCCGATCCGCCGCCCAACTTGAGACTAAAGAGAGCCTGGGAACGGACTCCGTAGCGGATGCAAACCAGTCTCATGTCGATCTCCTGATGTGTGGCCTCGTTCCTGCTTCAGTCACGAGGCTGTTCCTGAGATCAGACGAATGGAAAGGTCGTGATGATGACCACGATTCCGTAGATGAAATGGGCGACGGGGTTCCCGCGTTCAAGGGGAGGCCGCAACAGCACGACCGAACGCTCGAAACCATGTTCCAAGGCTTTGCTGAGAAAAAGGACGCTCATTTGCCTTCTCTCAAAGAGATTCGCGTATCGTGCCCATCAATTGCCGGCGAAGCCTACAAAGCCCGATGTAAGAGTTTGCTTCCCGAGGCTGAAAAAGTAGGCGTGACAGTGTACCTTGATGAGATGCGGTACCCGGACGTCTTAGATTTTGCAGGGACGAAGCAGGCGGTTTAGGTTAAGTATATAGGCCAGGCTGTAAACGGGTCAGAAGAAGGTGTGCTTGCGCCACAGTATCTTACAATCATGAGATGTAGGGGAAGGCCATACTTTCCAACAAGCGAGCTAGATTAAGCGCTTCACTTAACCAGCTTAAAGCTTAATTGTTGCCTGAAGTTAAGCTGCCTTATAGCAATCAACAAGCTAAGTTAAGCTGAAGAGAAAGCTAGGGTAAGTAGCTTAGTAACTTAGTTAGTCTAAGTAGAGAAGAAGGCAGCAGCTATCTGCTAGTAAGGCTACTAGTTTTATAGTAAAAGTAATCTCATAATAGATTTTTAGTGTTGTAAACATAGCTTAGTAAGCAATCTATGCAACCTTACAATGTACACAGCACACTCTATCCTATATTTTCTACTACTGTTTCTCTTCTATACTACGCTTTTAGTGTTACTTTTTTACTTAACCTTTATCCTACCTTTTTTATTATTACTATAGCACTTAAACATAGTTCTGCTAACTTTTTTACACTAAAAAACATGTTAAAGCTACCTTTAAAAGCGTTTAAAGTTAGCCTGTGATTATTAAAAACTTTTAGTAGTTATGGCGCTTTTTACTACAGTACGCTTTTATTAAGTTACATCTATCTAATAATACTTGTAAGTTGTAATTACGCAGCGCTGCGCCTAAAGCTACAATTATTACTCTAGATTAAAACACTAGTAACACTACTATAGTTAAGAATAGTGCTAAAAATAGTAGCTTTAATGTTTACAACTAACATACTAGATAACTGTTATGAGCTAATTTTATAGCTAACTTATAAAAGCTAGGTAATAATAAGAAGTAGGTAATTATTAAGCACATACTTAAGCTATATACATAAGAATTTTCGTCTTAGCTAGTAACTATAGCTAATATAGCTAATTATTTACATGCTAGGTATAATCTAGGCAATGTTAGCATAAACTAGCCTAGTATATTTATAACATGTTATCTAAACCTTAAAGTAAAGTTTAAAAGTAACTATAACTATAAAAAGCTTTTTATAAGAATCTTAAAGTAATTTCAAGCTAAGTACAGTATCTAAGATAATACTACATACAACTTTAATAATATAGGCTTTATAATAGGTTAGATATTTACTAACTATACTTATACTTAAAACTTTACTTTAAGCTTTAAATAACACTTTATAAACATACTAAGCTAGTTTATGCTTATATAGCCTAGACTATGCTTAGCGTGTAAAAAATTAGCTATATTAGCTACAGCTACTAGCTAAGAGAAAAATCTTTATATATATAGCTTAAGTATGTGCGTAGTAGTTACCTACTTTGTATTATTATGTAGCCTTTATAAGTTAGCTATAGAATTAGCTTATAAAAGTTATTTAGTGTATTAGTTATTTATTATTTTTTTAGAAACTTTATATATAGTTATAGTATGTTGCTTTAAAAGTATTATGTTTTATTTAAAAGCTTAAAGTGTAAACTGTGTCTAATTTTTTTTTAGCATATCTAAGTAGTGTTGTTAGAAATATATTAGTATAGAAAGAGTAGTTTAGTAGGGTCTTAGCAAAAGTAAGTAACTGTTACAACCCACGATTAGACTGTAAGCTACCAACCTACTGTGCCCTACTGTTTGAACAAACAAGGCTGGAATCCCCTTGTCACCCCACCTGTTAAGTCACGTGGCCTAACAGACAAGTAGTGGACAGAGCTGCTAGACTAATGCACAGCTAAATGCATTGTCTAATAAGCTAAGAACGTTTAAGCGTAAGTAAGCGTTATTGCGCGCAGTAAGGAACTGCTGTTAGAGAGCGCTTAACAGCGCTTAACAACGCGCAACTCTATGTATATAGTTTAGATCTTAACTATTATAAAAAGGTTATAATTAAAGTTTAGTTTATTATTACATAAACTAAGTAGCATTGCTACTTTATAATAAGAGTAATACTAATTATATATTTTACACTATATGTACCTTTATCTTATTCTATCCTTAGCAACAGTTTAACCTAAGCACTTTATACTGCTATCAAAGGGCAAACTATAGTTAGCTGCACCTTCCTGCTCTAGCAACTACGCCTACACAGCTTGTATAACTGTTATAGGCTAAGTTCTCCTACTTCTAAACCCTAACCTTTCTTCTAGGCCTAGCAGACTTTAGATATAATCCCTTTAAAGTAAAAATTATAACATTAATTACTATGTTTTAATAAAGTATAAATTCTTATAACACCTTTACTAATTTAGAAATAACTAGCGCTGCCCTAGTAAAGACAAGCTAGGTTCTAACACCTAATAAAAAAGCTGTAACTAAGTAACTAAATAATATAAAAGATAAGCTAAGCAAGCTAAAGGCTTTAAAATAAAAAGTACTTAAAATAAATGCTTATTTTTTAATAACCTAAGAAGAACTATAAAACTTAAACTTATAAGTCTAGGCTCTATAAATTAAGCTAGCTAACCTTAAGAACTTCTTTTAAGAAAAGATAAGTATTATAGTAAAAACAACTCTAAGACTAGCTTTGCTAAAGCCTTTTACTAGAAACTTAAAAAACTTAAAGCCTTTCTTTACATAATGCTATCTATATATATAATATAACTAAGAAGTGTTTTAAACACATAAGAAAATAATTTTATAAATAAGCCTTTATCTAGACAGCCTACTTGCAATTTAGTTCTAACTTTATGCTAATAGCTAGATAAACTTTAAGATAAATAAATACATGCTTTTTTTAAAAAAAATTTTTAGCAGCATAAACTTTTTTAAAGAAGCCCTTACTATAATTTATAGACTTATAGATAAAGAAAAAATAGTAGCAGATAAAATAGATGCTTTATAATAAGGAAAAAACACTATGCAACATTACGCTACACAATTCCGCGAACAGTTAGCTATCTGCAGATAGACAGACTACAAGACTCTATGTAGGATGTTTTATAAAGGACTTAAAGAAACTATTAAGAATAAATTTACACATAATAAGAAACTAATAACTTTAAAGAAATTTATTAAACAAGCAGTAACTTATAATAATTATTATAAAGAATGTAAACATAAGAAAAGACCTAGTAGTGCACCTTAAAAACCTAAGTAGTTACTAAAAAAGAAAGAACCATCTTACTATAATAAGAAGCTAATAGATTTAAGTTATATAAAGCATACATTAAACATATTTTAGAAAAAAAGACTTTATAAAAAAGGTAACAGGGCACTATTAATAAAAAAAATAAAAGAAAAGGTTTTAAAATAAAGCATGCCTAAACTATAAAAAAGTAAGATACCTTTATTAGAAATGTCTAGACGCTAGAACTCTAGAGAATAAAGCCTTAAGACTAGTAATAAAAGCTATAAGTGTAGAAAGAGGTCTAACAGTAAGTAAGATCTATAAAAGACTTAATAAGAGACTTTATTAAAAGTGTAGAGTAAACTATAAACTAACAAATTACTTTAAAAGCTATTAAGAGGCGGAAGTCGAAGACAACTATAATCTTAATTTAGCGCTAGAAGAAGCTGTAGTTTATAAGAGACTATATAAATTAGCATAGGTTGCAAACTACATAGAAAATGTATAAAAAGAAAAGAAAAAGTTTCTACTTAGGCTACTAATAATAAAAATACTAGTAAAAAAGCTTACACATTAATTCTAGACTAGCTAATGCTAGAAGTGCAGAGCTAATTATAAACACTAGTACTGTAAGATACTGTATTAAGAAGTACTTATTAACAATAATGTAAAAACTTACTAAGTAATATTAAACATTACTAGAGTACACTACAGCATCTTAAATAAAAAAGATTAATAGATGTTATTCTAAAAGATCTTCTAACAAGGGGAATGCTTTAAGTAGCTCCCTACACTATTACAGACGCTAGATCTATGCTATAAAAGGTCTAAGACTCTACCCCTAGCATTAGCAGTAACTAGAAAAGAATTAGAGGTAAGATAACTTAACTAGTACTATATCCTATGCAGAAGCAAGCAACATACTAAGTTATAATGCTACTATAAGAAGCATCTGCTCTAGATTATAAGAATAAAGGAATACCTAAGGTAGACACAGGTATAACTAGTACTAGTCCACATAAACCTAAAAGAGTGCCTGTTCCCCTAGTACCTGTGTTTAAATAGGTACTATGTTAAGCATTAGCCTACTAAGCATTAAGCTAGGTAGTAGCTAAAGATGTAGAAAGCACATAAAAACAGAGACAACACTCTAAGCAAAGAACAAACAGAATGCAAAATGCTAAACTGCCTTTACTATAGCTCTTAACTAGATTACAAGCAACTCTAGTAGACAGAGTGCAGAAAATGTAGAGATTATATTTACTATTATTTTTAGTAAAAAGCACACGAAGTAAACAACTAACTTCTATAATACTATAAAGTAGAAAACTAACAATACATAATAGAAAATTACATAGTTAAAGGACACTAGAAATACAGACTCTAGATAGACTTAATAAAAGAATAAGAAACTACTATAAAAAGTATTAAAGCAGATAAAACTTTAGACTATAATGTTATATACTACAACATAAAAGCGCTAGTAGTAGTTAAAGAAGGAATTAGCTAAAGCCTTATAATAGAATTTACATTAGAAGGACACAGAAAGACTGCCTTAATTAATAGTAGATGCACGTTTACTACTATAAACTCTTAATAGGTAGACTACTAGAACATACTATATAAAGTAAAGGATTAGCCCTTTAAAGTCTCTTTTATAAACACATTATTAATTAAGTTTAGAGAAGGATATATTTACCTAGAAACAACAGCACTTAAGGTTAAAATAAAGAACACTTATAACTAAAAGTCCCTTAGTATATTACCTTTAGAAGGTAAATACTAAGCTATACTAGGCTATAACTAGCTACATAAACATAATTCTAAGATTAACTAGAGAAACATAACTATCTAGACCTCTAAGCAACACGCTACTATAGCCTAGTTAGTGTGTTATAAGGACACCTGTCTAGCATATAAACAAGTAAAATAAGAAGCTAGCTAGTATTATAGAAAACAAAGGCTAAAAAAGTTTTTATATTAGGAACCTAAAGCTAAAGTAATTTAAATAATAAAAAAAGAACTTAAAGAAACTACACTTAAAAAAATTCTT